CACCTTTGGGGGTTCCTTGAAAGGTTCACTGTAGAGGCTGCGTATTCTTCTGCGGTCAGTGACCTTATTGTCAGCTGCTGTTGGCTTGTTGGCCTCCCCTTTGAACTGGGCACTATAGCTGGTTTCATGAGCCATCTTATCATCTGGGGGCTTGTACTGGGGCTTGGCTTTTATTGGTTTCACAGGCTTGATGTCCGTCCATGCTTTGAATTCATTCCCTTCAAATTGCTTGAAGTGATCCTCCTGGGCGCAGCTGTGCAGTCATTAGAGTTGTCTCGTATGCTTTACTTTAAATATTAGGGATTATTTTAAAGCCTTTACTTCTTTCTCAGCCTCATTGCCTGGAGTACCATGGCATGATCAATGTTTTTATATTCTGTAGTAACATGTTTTCAGATAGACTTGGACAGAGGCCTCCTGGCCTTACAGAAGGGCTGGATTAATTTTTACTCACTAGCCACAAAGCCCCCAGAGTGATACCCCCCTTTTTAGGGGGTGCTCGGAGCCATGATGCTCCAGATAAAAGTCTTCATGTAGGATTTTCCCTGCCTCTCCTCTTGGCCTTATACTTTTATGTGTACTGTCTTTACCCATTTTCCTCAGCCCTGACTAAGGCAACAAAAGGAAGGCTCTGACTTTGCTGCTTTCCTAATCATCAGGGGAAACTCAACTGAAAATCTACAGGGGCCCTAATATTCAATATTGAGAAATGTGTGCTCAGTGTTTGACTTGAGATCATGAACAACCTTCTGTCCCAGACTGGTGTGATCAATGGCTATTATGGACTGAATACTGGCTATTATGGCTATTATATTCCTGAAAATTTATGTTTTGGAGTTCCAACCCCCAGTGTTGCTGTATTTGAAAGTGGAACCTCTTAGGAAGTAATTAAAGTTAAACAAGGTCATAAGGGTTGGTCTTCACCAGCCCGCCAGCCAGTCCTCTCAGCGCGCGCTTGGCTGCCCGACTACGCGGGAGCCTCACGCGCTGGACGAAGAGGAAAAACATGAAGAAAGAAATTGAGGCTGTTGTCTTCTTTTTCACAAGGCTAGTTCGAAAACATAATAAGTTGAAAAAAGAGGCAGTTGAGAGGTTTGCTGAGAAATTGACTCTAATACTTCAAGAAAAATACAAAAATCACTAGTATCCAGAAAAAACATCAAAAGGACAGGCTTACAGATGCATTCGTGTCAATAAGTTTCAGAGAGTTGATCCTGATATCCTGAAAGCTTGTGAGAACAACTGCAGCTTGTATAGTGACCTGGGCTTGCCAAAGGAGCTTACTCTCTGGGTAGACCCATATGAGGTGTGCTGCTGGTATGGAGAGAAAAACAATGCATTCATTGTTGCCAGCTTTGAAAATGAGGATGAAAACAAGGATGAGATCTCCAAGAAAGTTACCAGAGGCCTTGATAAAGTTACCTCTGATTATCATTCAGGATCTTCTTCCTCAGATGAAGAAACAAGTAAGGAAGTGGAAGTGAAACCCAATTCGGTGACTGCAACACCAAGCCCAGTGTACCAGATTTCGGAACTGATATTCCCACCTCTTCCAGTGTGGCATCCGTTGCCCAGAAAAAAGCCAGAAATGTACCGAGGGAATGGCCATCAGAACCACTACCCTCCTCCTGTTCCATTTGGTTATCCAAATCCGGGAAGGAAGCATAAACCATACCATACAATTCCAGTGACATGGGTACCTCCTCCTGGAATGCATTGTGACTGGAATCACTGGATTAATCCTCACATGTTAGCACCTCACTAGCTTCTTTTGATTTTGTGGGTGTCATGTTGAGAGAAAGGTAGAATAAACCTTACCACGCACTGAAAGTTAAAAGTTCATACTAACAGCGAAGTTAGATGGACCAAACCATCAAACTTATTTTTATAGAAGTTACTGAGAATAATCTTTCTTAAAAATATATATGCACTTTAGATATATTGATATAGTTGGGGAAATTTTATTAAAGTTAGTCAAGTGCCTGAGTTTTTAATATTGGACTTGAATATTTATATATTGTGCATAAACTCTTGAATACGAGAACACTGTAGGAGTGGATGATCTGTTGTAGCACCTTTGAGCATTTACTTTATGGAGTGTAAGTAAGTTATTTATATACAAGGAGATCTATTTTATGTCATTGTTTAGAAAAATTGCATGAAATCATGTAGTTGCAAATAAAAAGTAGTTTGAGGCAAAAAAAAAAAAAAAAAAGGTCATAAGGGTTGGCCCTGGTCTGATGGGATCAGTGTCCTTAGGAGAAGAGACACTGGTGAGCTCTCTCCCCACTCCCCTTCTGCATTGGGGAATGACTACGTGAGGATGCAGTGAGAAGGCGGCTGTCTGCAAGCCGGGAAGAGAGTCCTCACCAGAAACTGAATTATTCTGAGCTTTGATCTTAGAGTCTAGCTTCCATTACTTTTAGAAAATGAGTTCCTGTTGTTTAAACCCTCTAATCTATGATATTTTGCTATGAAAGGCTGAGCTGACTAATATAATGGCAAAACACTCCCTTGGAGAGGGAGATGGCCATCACATAAGATTCTCTGTGTCAAATACAGATGGTATCAGCCCAGTCAGTCCCAGAAGCCTGGGTGAGGAAAACACCATATTGCTGACCTTCCTGTTTGGAGTAATGGTGTTCACTTCCCTACATACAAATGTATCTGGAAATCCTAAGGTAAGACAACATTCCTACTGTGAATTCTGAGGAATGAGTGCTCTTGTGTCCACTTGGCTCATGTGATGGAGGCTGCTGAAACCTCAGGACATGACTTTTGGACATATTGAACATTGTCACAACAGCTGACAGATGGGGCACAGATGTTTGACAATTTCCACCAAGGCTGGGCAAACTGTGGGTGATCAGGAAAGAATCACAAAGCACAAGGCATATGGAATCTAACTCTGCATTTTTCCTTGATCCTTGGGTGCCACTTTTGGCAGCAGAATAGAGAATTTATTTTGGCCTCATTAGCCGCACTAAGGCCTGTGACCCTCCCTGACATGCCTTACCATCTCATTCCATCATCTGCAGCCTGTTTTAGGAGGCTAAGTTGTGAGGAAATGTCCTCTCCTCATTGAGAGCAGTTCAGTGAAGTATACGTGCATTGTATAAGGAGAGAGAAATTTGCATGCACTGGGCAGACTGTGATTCATTCATTTCTTAGCATAATCAGTGACATCATGATTGATTATTCATATTTTAGTGCTCTTGTTTTTACTACTTAGGAGAATATTATTTTCTTCCATTTTTGTCTCTTTCCTGTTTTTCATCCTCCAGATGAACATTCTCAAAGAGATCTTTCATCTTGAATATATTTTTAAGCTTATTAGGTATTATTTATGAAGTATGATACGTTGAAATATAACTACTTGAATTGTTGAAGTATGTCAATGGTGACATCATTCTAGCTATTTATTTTTACTTTTTTTTTTTGAGACAGAGTCTCACTATGTCATCCTTGGTAGAGTGCCATGGCGTCACAGATCACAGCAACCTCAAACTCTTGAGCTGAAGTGATTCTCTTGCCTCTGCCTTCTATGTAGCTGAGACTACCAGTGCCCGCCACAACACTATTTTTTTGTTGTTGCAGTTGTCATTGTTGATTTTAACTGGCCTGGGCTGGATTCAAACTCGCCGGCCTTGGTGTCTGCGGCCAGCGCCCTACCCACTGAGCTACGAGCACTGCCCTAGCTATTTGTTTTTAAATAAATTTCTCTGTGAAGCTTGAGTTTCATCCTCTTCCATGACTTTTCAAATGTTGAGTGAATGAGCACAATCTATCTCCTATTCTGCAATATAGCATTAGGTTTGTTTGAAGGACTGTGTACAGGTCCCCTTGATTTTTCACTGTAGCAGTTCTGTTGAGAGTACATCCATCGGACAGTGATGTGCTGGCAAATGTTTAAGAATTGATGCTCTGGAGGTATTTGCCAACTTTGGTGGTATAAATAATCCTGCATAACCTATTTTGAACCACCAATATGGTGCCATGGGCTGTAGAGTTGGGAGGACATGCAGATGGTTGGCTCTGGGCCCTTGCATGCATGGATACTGGGTCTAGATAGTTCCTAGAAAGGAAGAATTAATTCTCTGCACCTGATCTTTGATAAGAGCACTTCTCCTAGGGGTTCCTTGTTCCTTAAGTCAGCCTTTGCTACCTGACTTTGCATCCCTGATACATGCTCTAGAGGTTTCTAATCATGACGGAGAAAGATATAACAAGGACTTTAAAATGCAGCAAAATCTGTGTCTTCCGAAACACTTCTTCCCTTAAACCACATCCTGATTTCTTTAGCTCAGAAACAATATTTCACCACTGAGAGCCCATTTCCACCCTGTCTCTATGGTCTGGTTCATTCATGAAGCACAGATAAGTACAATTTTCTGCTTCATTGGCAGATAGAATGACATTGGTGAAATCATGATATGTATTCAGTTTGGTTTATACAAAATTTAAAAATAAAAAACAACAGCAAGAGACTTTCCGTCGCCTTCACATGTTAAAAGTGAAAAAAAGATGTGTCACGTCTTGTGTATTCCACATCCGGTAGTCAGTGGTTGGTGTAGTGAAGGTGGTTTCCTCTCCAAAGCCGCTCTGCCCTGTAGTTTCAGGATCGTTCCTGACTGACCAGACTCACACCTAGCTCTGCAACATTCCTGAAAATTCTGTGGGCTGCCCACTATCCTTTGAATGCCCCCTTCATCTGCTAAGTTGAACCAAATTGGCTCTCACTTGCAACTCTATCAAACAGGTTTTCGGGCTAGGCAGTTTTGGTTCAAATCTCAGATGCTACAGCTATGAACTGTGTCTTTGGGCAAATTTTCTCTCCACAATTCAAGTTCCTCATCTGTTCAAGGGAGATAACACTTCTCATGGAGTTATTCTGATGCTTAAATGAATTAATACTCATGAAACTCTTAGATCAGTGCCGGGCACATTATCAAGCCCTCAATAGCTGTTAGCTATTATCATGCTGGGTAGATTTTTGCAAAAATTGGTTGACGTCAACTGATTCCAAATACAAAGCAGAAACAGACAGCCATCAAGCCGTCACTTTTTATGGCACATAGTTTACATTTTCTCAAACATAAGAAACCTCTTCGTAGTATAATAGCTTCAAACTTGGTACAGAAGAGAGAATATGTATTTAGTTTTTCCATAGTAATCAGCAGTTTAGAAGTTGATCAGTCTTTAAATCCAGCATCTGTTAATGTTTAAAGCAATTCATAGTTTTCCTCAGAGCACATGATTTTGGACAAAGACAACAACAAACAAAAGTGCCAAAATGGGCTCACTAGCCGGTTTGCATAAAATGAAATAATCGGAGCAGATCGGATGTATGGACGATGTAGGCACCTGTTCCACTCCCTGTTAACAAAACCTTTTATTGTCCTTCTCAAACATTCCTCTGCTATTTGCCTTCTCAAATTCTGGAATGGCTATGCTAATTCAGTGTCACATTCTTGTTTCCTTCTTGGCAAAATGTATTGTTTTGCTTTAGCGTTCTGAATTCTTTTTTTTAATGTTTCCAACATTTCTAACACATGGGCAATTTAAAAAAACTCTAATGTTTCACTTTTTTCTTTATCGTTTGCTATTTCTTTGGATTCAATGAACGCAGGAAGAGGGGAGCCCCTTGCATTTTCTAAAGCCTATTTTACAATTAATAAGTTGTCTAATGGGTTTTCTTGAATTATTTATTCACTCAACAAATAGACACAGAGCCCTTACTCTGAGCAAGGTAAGGCTAATGCCAGGATGTCTTGATGAATGAGGTACCTTGGAGAACTGAGAGTTGAGAAGGAAGAGAGACAAAGAAAGAGCAGTTCCCATACCCTCAACTAGAGGTAAATGCATGGTCTGATGAGAATACGGTGCAGGAACTCTTAACTCAAGTCAGGGGATCAGGAAAGGAAAAGGAAATGGCGGTTGGCAGAGATTTGTGCAATAAATAAGAGTTAGCCTAGGGAGGAAGGGTGGTTTTTTCTAAATATGCTGGTGGAAGAGTATGTAATTAAACGACATCATGTTCTAAGTATGTTGCCTACATCTTTTCTTTTACAAAAGACAATCGTACTTTTTAATGTCCTATAAGCATCCCATTTCTTTTGACAGGCAGCATATAAATATAGCAGATTCCAAAATTGAGAACTTTATATGTATTTGTTGCATAAATTGTACTCCTGATTCCAAGATTCCAAAATACTCTATATACTTGTCTCAGTGTGTTGGAGCAGCTATAAAAAATGCTATAGATTGAGTGGCTTAGATAACAAACATTTCTTCCCCACAGTTCAGGGGGCTGGAAGAACTGAGATCAGGGTGCCGGCATGGTCAGGTTCCTGGAGAGGGTCTCTTTGACTTGCACGTGGCTGCCTTCCAGCTGTGTCCTCACATGATGGGGTGGGGGGTAGCGGGTGCACACACCCTGGCTGCTTCATCCTCTTGTAAGAACACCAATCCCATCATGGGGGCTCTACCTCTGAACTCATCTGAAACTATTTACCTTCTAAAAGTCTCACTTTCCCATGCCATCACATCAGGGATTAGAGCTTCAACATACAGATTTGGGGATGGTACAAACATTCAGTCCCTAGTAATCCTCCACTGAGTAGTTATTCTTATATTTCTCCTATGTTAGAAATAACTAGGTTCACTTTAGTCCCATGGTTCTCTAGTCATAAATCACGTTTTTATTAAGGTGAAACATTGGTGTTTTAAGCCACATAAACATAACAAACCTCATAGGTTTATAAGGAGGTCCTTCAAATTCCATTAAAGATTCATACTTAAACTTAAAACATATT